AGCCCCGGCGCCTGCGCCCCATCCACCCCCCCCAGCCCTCTCCCTTCCCCACCCAGTATTCGTCTCTGTCCCACTGACTGCTCTTTTTCCAGTGTCTCTTGTCCCAAAATCCACGTCCCATGAGGGGCTGAGAGTACAGAAGTAGACTTTTTAAAGTTTGGTTTTTTCAGCAATCATGCAAAGAATCAGACACTGTGACACAAATACGGGATTTGGAACCGCAAATAAAAATGGTTGTGGTTCTGCCCTTTTAAAAATAGCTTTGTCCTGTGTCTTTCACAGTTCTCCTTTTATTGCCTTTCAATTCTAAATGAATACCTAACCTCAGCCCTGACCTGTTCGGTCCAGAGAGCCTCGTCCAGCTGCCGTGATGGCTCCCGATCCCAAATCCCAGCTCCATGTGCTGTCCTCACCCTGCCCTTCCCTCTCCGGTGCCTGGAGACCTGGAGGCCGTTTTTGCCTGTCCCTTGCCTTCCTGTGGGCCCCCTCTGGGGACCTGCCCATCCCTGTCCCCCGTGCCGCTGCCCCCCCCCGGTCCTGAACGCCGCGTCTGTCTCTGCCTCCTGCCTGCGTCCCGCGGCTCTGCCGTGACCTGTTTGTGCTTTCCAGCTTTAGACTGGGGACTATTTCTGTTGATAGGTGCTGCGGGCGGTGGGGAAGGAGGAAGCAGGGAGGAAACCGGAGGCCTGGAGCGGGATCGAGCTGTAAATACCTGGCCGTGAGCGGTTTTCCTGTGGGTCCCCTCGGGCTCCCTGCAGGCGAGAGCAGCCTGGGCGGTGGGCGCTGCCGTGCCACCCCGGCTCCCGTGCCAGGGTCAGGCAGGCAACCCCGGCCGGCTGCCCCCGGGGCCTGCGGGGCACCCTTCTGCCCAAATTCCTGCATCTTCCCAAAATCCTGTCCATCACATGCCCAGCCCATCCTGCCTGCAGTGTGGTTGGGAACTGTGCTGTGACTGAGCCTGGCGAGGCCTCGGGGCAGCGCCCGGGGCTCAGCCCCGTACAGGGCCGGGAGCTCTGCCTGTCTGGGAGACGATCCAGGGGACGGGGGGATTTGCTCGATAGGGGTCCTGCGGGCTTGGGAACGTGAGCGTGTGTATGCCCGTGCGCCTGCGAGCGTGCATGAGGACACCGCTTGCCAAGCAGTGAGGGACAGACCCGCAGGGAAGGAGTGGTGGGGTGCAGGCACCCACTGCTGCCGTAGTGCCGACTCCGCTGCCGGGGGGCTCAGGACCTCCCCGCGGCTGGAGGTGCCGTGGCCGCGGCTGGAGGGAGGGTGCTGGGTGGTCTCCAGCACCTGCTCCGTGCCCCGCCATGGCATCACTACGAACGTCCCTCTGTCCCTTTCCAGGTGTGACTCTGGGCCCCGCACAACGGGGCTTTCACAGGCCGCAGGGACCCCCTGCCCAGGGCGTCGCGGGGCCAGGGCCCTGCGAGGGCTGAGGACTCTGCGCCGAGCGCTGGCACTTCCTCGCGCTGGGGAGAGCCTCCTGCCGCAGAGGCGAGAGCCGTCCTCGGCCACCGTGCCCAGCCCTCCCTCCTCCCACACTGGCCTCGGCTCCTGCCGTTGGCCGTGCCGGGCTCCCCGGCAGCCAGCTCCTGGCTCGCGGGATGGGGCTGGACCGCTGCCACCCAGCTCCTCACCCGGCCCCACGCTGCCATCCCCAGAGTCCTCCTCTGCCCTGCGCGAGGAGCTGCAAGGAAAGGACATGGTGCCCCTGTGAGCTGTGTGGGGCGGTGGGGCTCTGCTGGCAGCCCTGCCTGCCCTGCCCGCCCTGCCCTCCCCGGCGCCCAGTCCCTGGATGAGCAGCTCCTCTGGCTGGGCTGGGGCTGGGCTGGGCTCCGCTCCCCGCTGCCAGTGCTCGGTGGGGAGAGCGTCGGGCCGGCTGGCTGTGGGGCCGGGTGGCGCCTCCGCGCGGGGGGGGGGT